GTTGTTTTTGCATCAAATGTTTATTGAGCTCCCCTTAAGACCCAGAAATGGTGCTGGACACCAGGGATCTACAGATAAACAAAATTCAGCCTCTGCTGTCGAAGAGATTGAGACCCAGCAGGAAAGGCAGTTATGTAAACAATAAGAGTTTGGAGCAAGCCATGGTTCAAAAGGCACAAAGGTGGAACCCAGGAAGAAGTGCCCATCTCTGCCTGGGAGCATCAGGGACAGGCTCCAGGGTAGGGCATATACTTCCAAGGAGCATTGACCCCAAAGTACAATTTTTAAAAAAAGATTTATTTACCTGAGAGAGAGAGAGAGAGAGAGAGAGAACAAGAGCATGAACAGGAGGGGAAGAAGGGAGAGCGAATCTCAAGCAGATCCCACACTGAGCGCAGAGCCTGCCATGGGGCTTGATCTCACAACCCTGAGATCATGACCTAAGCTGAAACCAAGAGTCAGACGTTTAACCGACTGCAACACCCAGGCGCCCCCACAAGTACAATTAGAACACCCATCTCAAACTGTTTGAAACTTAAGTATGTTGAAAATCAGACCACTATCTGACATTGGGGGTTAAACATTTACCTGGTGTTGTGTGGATTAAAACATGTACATGCTGAAGTACTGAGAAGAAAAACATTCGGTGTGTTAGGATCAACTAAGAGGGAAATGGGGCTGTGGGGAGGTGCAGAGGTGGCCCCTCCAATAGGCACTGGCTCCCACAGTTCCAGTCATGGTTTATTCAAAAATGTGATTTTATAAGTCAATCAGAAAAAGACAATTATCATATGATCTCTCTGATATGAGGAATTTGAGAGGCAGGGCGGGGGTTCATGGAGGGAGGAGAGGGAAAAAGTGAAACAAGATGGGACCAGGGAGGGAGGCAAACCGTAAGAGACTCTTCATCTCAGGAAACAAACTGAGGGTTACTGGAGTGGAGGGGGGTGGGAGGGATAGGGTGGCTGAGTGATGGGACATTGGGGAGGGTATGTGAAACGGTAAGTGTTGTGAATTGTGTAAGACTGATGATTCACAGACCTGAAGCAAATAATACATTATATGTTAATAAAAAAATAAATAAAATGTGATTTTATTAACTACAAGAAGTGCTAAGTTAGAATGTCCAACTTTAAAACGATATCAAATTTAGTTTGTAGAAAAAATGTGATCAGCTTTATATATACCGACTTTATAAGGAAAATAAAAATTTGGTTAAAAATATCCTATACATGTTAACTCTTTGTTATGGAGTACACGGCAGGGGATGGGGAGAGGTATGTGACGGGGTGGTTAAATAAGCACCCCAGGCTAATTAGCTCAGAGCAAGTTTTTAGCCACAACTAGAAATGGCATAATTATGCAAAGATTTGATCAACAGTGCAGTAATATACAACAGAAACCTGAGGTTCAAAAAGTGGAAATGGTTGAGGTTTTTAGTGCCCTTGGTGCTCCTTCCTTGGCTGCCTGAAGAGCCCACCACCAAGAAGTGTTCTCAGGCTCCCAGAAATGGATCCCTGCAAACGTAAAAGGGATGGGAATGCTGTTCAAGCAGGCATGCCTGCTTCAAATTCTACGTGGAACAAGATGATGGGGCATACATAAAAATTCAGGATAAAAAACTCCCGTAGTCTGTAATTTTATAGAAGTCTGAATCTCTGCTAAATGAAATCTGGCTACCTAGATGTACTTGGGCCAATTCAAGAGGTCAAAATGAAAAGCATCTGTAGACAGCAGAAGCATAACCAGCAATAATTCCTTTACTCCTCCATCCCCATCCCCCACCCCAGACAATTTTGCTTTTATTTTCAATGTTCTTGTCTTTTTCATAGGCTTGATCTCAGTGTCCTTTTATGACGAGGGTAGTAAGTGATCTATTACAAAATCTGGGCTGAAACATGATGAATCTTTTTTTTTTTTTTTTTAAGATTTTATTTATTTGTCAGAGAGCACAAGAGTGCAAGGCAGGGGGAGTGGCAGGCAGAGGGAGAGAGAAAAGCAGGCTCCCCACTGAGTAGGGAGCCCAATGCAGAGCTCATCCCAGGACCCCGAGATCATGACCCGAGCCAAAGGCAGATGTTTAACCAACTGAGCCACCCAGGACCCCTGAAACATGCTTAATCTCTGGGAAGAAATATGCAGCTGCCTCATCTCCTGAATGAGCAGCGCTGTAAACACATGCAGTAAGATACAGTGAACACATGACTCCATGTGCAAGGGACTTTTGGCTCCACCCAATCCACGACCCACCCCATTAATGGGAGAATCCTTTAAAAAAACCTTTCTGGTTATAACATTTCACTGGCTTAAAAAAAAAAAAAAAAAAAAACACCCAAAACACTTTAATTTTAACCCGTTACTTGCTAGGTATGGTTCAGACTATTTAATAGGGCAAAACTCCAAGACAGACCATAAAGCCTTAGAAATGCTCTCCAGGGGCACCTGGGTTGCTCAGTCAGTTAGGTGTCTGACTCTTTCAGCTTGGGGTTGTGAGAATGAGTCCCAGTGGGGCTCTGTGCTCAGCAGTCTGCTTGAGATTCTCTAAGAATAAATAAATAAATCTTTAAAAAATGCTTTCTAATCATAACGTCTTTCCTAGGAAAATCAATCTCAGATCTTAATGGTTTGCAAAGCCAGGTACTTCGAGAGAAACCAGTCCTGTTACCCTGACCTCCTAGAAGGGAAACTTACCTTTGGCTCCACAGCCAGGTGTCTCTGGCTTGGGTGGCTGGGTGGCTGAAAGTGAGAGGAAACGTACCCCTCTTCTATGGTCCCACTGGCTCTTACATCTTCCTCTCCTACCCAGTACTGTAAATGCCAACTTCCTTGCCTGTATTTCTCCTCTATACAAAAGCTCTATAACGACAGGGACTGAGTAATGTCAGGATCCAGCACAGTGTGTCTTACCAGTCACTTCAGTAAGTATTTGTTAAATGAATGGATATAAAACCATTGAAGCCTGGGATACAGTGTGGTGTAGCAAAAGACAAAGTAATCATCGTAATTCTCAACTTTGTAACAATTATTCTTACTCTGAGTCAAAAATTCCCTGGATTTTCTTCCCTGATAGGCAAAAACGTAAGCATGGATAGTTAAAGGCTCTTCTAGAATTCTACATACACATATGCACAAAGCATGTTTAAAAGTGTAAGTCCAATTTTGAAATGAACACACTAGAATTCATTAAGTGCAAATGAACATCAGTCCCTTTAAATGTAGGTACTTTGAGAAGCTACTTACTCCTTCAATTATGGAAACCAATTTGGAATTTTGCAAAATACTTTTTGTTTGTAATTTAAAGTAAGACAAAAAATAACTTAAAAAATTTACAAAAGCAACATATATTTACTACAAAAAACAAATCAGAAATTATAGAAGGAGAAGATAACCAACCCACAATCATACTGACAGAAGCACTACTTACTTGGCCTGGGTATAAATCTGAGTCCTCCTGCTTATATAAACATATTCTATATGTCTACATTTTTTTCTTTAAAACAAGGGTTATCCTATACCAGCAAACTCTTTTACCCTAATATACCTTATGAATACCTTCCCATACACTTTGTAAGCATAGTCATCTGTAAGGTGTCAATATTAATTTATTTAACCAATGACCCACTGCTGGATATTTAGGTTATTTACCCATCACTATTACAAAAAACAAACAAAACAAACAAAAAACCCCACATTAAATGTCCTGACAGTCAAAATTTAGTGCACATAATTATGTTTTCAAAATTTCTAGAAGTGAATTTTTTGAAACAAGGCTGTACGTTTTTATTAACGTTATATTAGTTTATTTAACTTATTAAAGTTGTATGTAGTTTGTATGCGGCAGACTTCCATCCTTTTGACAGCAGATATAATCATTGGAAGGAGCCGAGAAACACTGGGGGTCAAATCTGGTGATTAAAGCGAGAGATCAAGCGAGGCAATACTATTTTTAGTCGCAAGCCTCTGACTGTTCAGCAGTGTGACTGGTTTTCATATGTGACCCAGAGTGACTCTGAAGGCAGTTGCCACAAGAATACCAAACTGTTGTAAGCCTTGGCCCGTTATCAAACTAAGCATATTACTTCCCAAAGACACAGTCATGAAGGGGATGAACAGAGCTAGGTGACGATGCTTTCTCAGGATTCGTGATACTCCAGTTACGTCTAATTCACACATGTAGAAAGTCTCAACAGTTGAGTTAACCAATTCATTTTAAATAGCTGTACTGGTTCTCCTGAAACTTAAATATGTGCAGTTTTTCCAGTGTGACATTCTCATAAACATTAATTTACCACTCGAATGACACCTCACATGTTACTTTTTAATTTTCATACTATGATTAGGCATCTAGATAGTACTCTCTCCGTTTTATAAATGAGGAACCGGAGACTCAAAGAAGGTAAGTGATTTGCCCTGAAGGCAAAAGCTGCTAAAAGGCACAGCCAGGAAGCTAGGAAGGATCTGTTTAGCTTCGGTGCCACGTTCCTTTTCTGAGCCAGCCACACAGTACCTCTGGGTAATTCTTAAATATATCATTATACAGTTGTTCAATCTTAACTACTATGATTAAAATTTCTTAATGACTATTACTACCAGTGAATAATCCTACTCTTTATTTAACCTGGAAGTGAACTGAATGAAACTGGAGGTATTGCTTATGAATAAGCTCATTTATATTCTTAAGAAAAACTGGCAGTAACTGCAAAAACCCATTAATTCAATTTGAATAAAGTAAATATTGATACTAGACTCTACATTTAAAGAGACTTGTCTGGCAAGTGAGTAACGTTTTAACAATAACCATCATAAAAGGGGGAGAAATTAGAGCAGTAAGTTGAATAAAAGGCTAATAAAACTCAAAGGAAACAGCTCAGTGTTTTCTTTTAAACCCTGAAGAACACCAAATGTATATTACGTTGCATTAAGAGTCATTTCAAGAAAAGATTATTAACAATCTAATAGTAAACACTAAGAATTTCAATGATATCCAACTCAAAAATGCATAGGGAGAGTAAAGTTATTTTATTAAATCATGCACATCACGTGTGTTAGTGCAAATAGTTTAATCTGTACTCCAGAAATTCTATTGTACTTTATATCTTTACAAAATAGATTTAAAACAATTATTTACTTTAAAAAATGTAATTCTGAAGTTAAGCATTTCAGAACAATATTTGCAATAACCTATATACAAGAGGTACTGGGTACCACTGGCATATTAGCATTCTGTGGTGGAGTGGCTTCCTGCAACAGAAAATGATGAAATGAACTATATGACAGCATTTTCTACAAGTCGTTTGTGACTAATTCCTCCATAAATCTAGTGATCCTCCCAACAGCAAATCCCAAATAGCATAAAATATAACCTTTAAAGTATAAACAACGACTGCCAAACATCACAAGGCAAATTATATCCTAAACTTCTATTTCAACATTTGGCTAGGCCTGTGGATTGCCACAGAACAATCAAGCCAATTCACTGACATTCCCTCCCAGTCTTCATTGACTGAAAAATTTAACTATGTGATACTTTAGGATATTCTATGACCTAAAAAAATTTTATTGACATAACTGTGGTGCCGCACAAAACCATAGCTAAACTGTCACTTCTGTGTTTTAAATTTATAACATCAAGCAGTGTTTAGGTGCCGCACTGTGCATGGAACACTATTAATCTTGGGAATAATGCTTCTCATAAACAGAAAGTCCCAATTAACAACAGTAAAAAGAAAATAACCGTTTGCATACCCGACCAGGAAATCTGTTGGTAGGTAACAACAGCTCACCTTGAACATGAATTAGCTTTGAAATATCATAACCAAATTAAGTCAGTAAAAGCTTATCTAAAGAGATATTAATTCTTTCTTCAATTAAACATGCTTGGAGGAAGAGATGATAGAAAAAAAAAATCATGCTTCCTAAAATGCTGTATATGAGAAAGTAACTTGGCTTTTAAAGAAAATATCTCTTTAAATACATGAGGTTTAATAAATTACATTCCAATTGACTCAACAGTTTGGTTTACTGCACTGAAATTGTAGAACTGTTTTTGCTCCCAGAAATACTTCAGTTTGCTCAAGAAAATACACACTCTCATGGAAAGTTTTTCAAAGTTGATGTCCTCCACATTGTCAAGTCACATTAAGGCTGAACAAGCGTGCACATATTCCCCAAATTATCACTAGAACAGAATATTTTCCAAGTGTATTTCTCCTTAAAAAAAGAAAGAAAGAAAGAAAGAAAGAAAGAAAATCCACACAAATAGTTGTCTCTAAGTCTTGTTCCCAATAGCTCAGTGGTTTTATAACAAGTAAAAATGGCGTAAATATGTAAAAAATATATATATATGTGTATATATTTCAAACTGATAGGCACTGAGCACACAGGGCCTCTCTTCCCATGTATGTACTGGTTGTTTGGTTTGGGTAGTTTTCGAATCAGAAAAATGAATTATCTGGCCATTAGAATTCAGAGTAAAATACCCATAAATTTAATGTTATAAATAATTTGGTGTACCAAGAAGCCTACTTTAGGCCACCATAATATTCAGAATCTCAACATACTAATTTAAAAATTACATGAAAAATTGCAAGCAAATTATTGCTTACAGTAGAATAAAGTCACAATTTTATATCCTCTTTATAGATAGATACATTTTATATAATTTAAAGCAATGACCCTACAGCTGTATTCTTGTACTTCTGCTGTCTTAAGAGGTAAAAAGGAAGAAAATGGTTCTGTTTGTCCCCAGCATGAGTGTGATGCCAGCTTCTAAAGGGAGGACGGTGTACGGACTCAAGAAACGCTCTCATGGAGACGCTCTGGCCAGACCTGGCACGTACAGCACGATGGCTGTCACCGCAACCAGGGCAGCCAACATGGGCATCCAGGGCCAGGGTTTCTGTGTGGAAAGAAACCAAGAGTCAATATCACATTCTTCCCTCTCTTTTCATACCTATTAACCCCTTGGTTCCAGAGAATCCTGAATACTTAACAGAATATTAGAAAAACCTTATCTTTGCATAAGAATACATTTTAAAAAGCAAAGGAAAAAAGGTGAGGAAGTACAGGTGTGAGGAGAGCTGTGACAGCAGGAACGCTTTTAGAGGACGGTTGTGTGCAAGTCTGATACAGCTCAGGAAAGTCTTAGGCAGTTTTCAATTTCGTTACAGCTGAAACCTAATAGTGACTTCTAAGAAAACCTGTGGGCTCAGCCTGCTTTACTTATTTCAGTATCCGTATATTACAACTAACTGATACACACGGATGCCTGGAATACACGTCTGCCTAAACGTTTATTTCTTGATAAAAACCAGATTTGTATGTTGGGGTAGTTTTACACAAGCTAGCTAGTGGGTAAGGTGGCAGAAAGAAAATGGTCTAAGCTTTGATCCTCTAACGTGAAACCACAGAAGACAAGATCAGATGGGGTTCAAGACAGGGAAGTACTCATAGGACCCTGCCTCTTTGACACTTTTGGTAAATACCATGTCCAATGTAGTCATGTCATGGATTATCTCGTATGTTCTACTAACACACATGCTTGTTGCAGGTAAGCATGGGTGGGCGACTCCCTATTAACCTTCAGAGAGCGTTATGAAACTAACGTGCTCTGGCAGACAGCTTTACTTTCACTAGCGTACTGAGAGTCTTAGTGAGAAAGCTGGCTTTTAAAGAAATATTCTGATGTTGCAGATCAAGGCTCAGAGAGATATGGGATAGGTTTATACTCTCATAAGTATGTACATATTGGGGTTGAGATTGTAAGCCAATGGCTCATTATGCTAATCTTATCCTTTTTCGTCTTCATAGCCACAGCGTAAATACAGGTAAAGAGTTGAAAGGAAGAAACTCTACACTATGGAATAGAAGAGGGAGAGGAGGAGGGGAAGAAAGCTGGCTGAAAATTTTAAAGAGGCAAACGCTTCATTTCTCATTCAAATCTGATTAAACACTTAATTGGGGGGGGTGCCAATATTGCAGCAATTCTTAGTTTACTCCAGTTTGCTAGAGACAAAGACTCTGTTAAAGGCAGCACATTAACAACGGGTTAGGTTGGAATTAATTCATGGTTAGCAGTACTACAAAGGAAACAAGACAAAATGTTATGTGATTAGTTGATTGTTCACAGCATTCGTATGACACAATACATGGCATACTAAATGAAGGGTTTGCTTCAGGTAACGGAATACCTGTGTGGTTTTGCCATGCACTATGTTACAAATATGGCACAAACAGGTGGCGGGGACAAACAGACAAGGACTCAACAGTAGTGCTTGTACCTTTCTCTACCACAATGGACCGAAACACCAAAACAGGAAAGCCAGGAATAGGCCGATGAATACGGCTGGGACGGGTTGTAATATGGAAGGCTAAAGAAGGGAAGGGATATTAAAATCATTTTATGCTATAAAAAAAATCAGATAAGATGACTTAGACCCATGGTGGGAAGGAGGGTAGGAAGACTGAGGTAATAGAAGTAAAAGCACTCAGGTTTTGTACTGATTCAAACATTGTAAAGACATCTAATACAATCTAGAATGACGGGACTGTGGTACTAACTACCAGTTTAAAAGGGACAGCTGGAGGCAGTGGACAATGTGGGTGCCCCTAATCCCTAATGAAATGTAGCACTTTAAGACAGAGCAATGGCAACACTTCACCAACTGATGCTCTGCTTGACCTTACGTTATTTTTGTTCCACAGCTGGAATCCATTATTTGATAATGTAGTCTCTTGGAAATGGCTAAAGTTTATTTTATCCCTCCATTGAAACCTTTTTTTAAACCAAAATTGTCTTCCTCGAGATGGTACTGCTTTTAAGCTTAAAAATAAAACGCCTTGTGATACATGCTTCCTAAACCAAGCAAGAGATCTGACACAATGTGTGATAAACATTGGATATATAAAGACAGCCAGCTGAGTCTCAGGGTTTTCAGTTATGTTATCAGAATATAACAAATTTTTAAAATTGGAAAGAGTTACTACAGTGAGTTTTATTACAGAGAAAAATTTAGTACCTTAAGTCTAATACCACAGAAAAAGGAAATTCACCTTTAAGGTAAATTCTTGGTACAGCTAAAAATAATAATAGCCAGGTTACTTTTAAAAGCCTCTAAATAGTACAGAGGGATCCATTCTGATTATGCTAGATGTCTTCATAGGTTAATTTAGTAGAAGGAGGACTGAAATTCCATACTCAGAAAGATATGAATTAACACAAAAGAGAGAAGTAACCAAACCATTATGATCTGATATCAGAAGAGTTCTGTAATCCATGTTTCCAAAATAAACACAATTTTGCTTATAGCATAAAGCCTCCATACCTAATTTATCAACTTCTGAAGGGCTCTACCTAAGCAACAGGACTTCATTTTCTAAAAAGCTAAAACTTTCTTTAGCAAAGGACAGCTGGACATAACCCATGAGCATTCTGTGTGCAACTGTGTAACTGGATGGCCATGCAACACTCTTTCATACTCGTGCGGCAAAGTTAAGCAGAGTGCTTTCCTTTGTAGGAAGGGTGTGGCTTACGCCACTGCAGTGTCCAAGCCATGACAGGGATTTGAAATAAGTCAGAGCACAACCAACTACACTGAACAGCCATCAGTTAGGGCCCACAAAGGCAATGATCACCAAAACGTAGAACACAACACTTATTTAGTATATGTAACATCTTTTTAAAGACCATCTGCCTTTCTAGTAAATGAAAAACAAACAGTAAACTCAATTTATATGAAAATGTTCCAATTTCACACACACACACACACACACACACACACACACACACACAGCCCTACAGAAACTCAATAAATATTCCCTAATATTTATAGGAGGTCAAAAAGACACTAAGCTTTTTAGGAATATGCTTTAGTGATAACATTATTAGTATAAAATGAAAACTGTAATTAAGTTTCCATTTTTTGATAAAGCCAAATGCTAAGGAGTCAGTATGTACTACTCTTTCTTAGGCGGGTCCCTGGTGGTACAGGGCTTCATCTCTCAGCAGGAGAAATGAAGTGCCAGATGATGGCCTGGTGACAGAATTTCAGATTCATCTGGGAAAATCTGACAGTTCTTAGGTAAATTATTTTCTTGTACAAAAGGCTCTTCCTCAGGCAGTCCTCAGGCTCTTCTAAGGATACTGGTTAAAGGGGAAAATTCTTACTCAAAAATTTGACAGCACAAAGATTCCATCATGGAATTTCACAATGAAAAGCTTAGTTCATGTACTATAAGCCTTAATTTCTCAAATTAGTAATAAAGTCCTCTGAAAAATCCATTTCAGGGCTCTCACCTGCCTCTCAGTCAAAGCTAAGCCAGTTTGCAAAGACTTACATTATTTCCTTTTTCTCGGAGCAGCTTCAGGTTGTCTTTACATTGTTTGAGCTCATCTGTGATTGATTGTTTTTCCTGCTCAGTCATTTCAAACTTCAACTTCAGTTCTGAGAGTACAGTCTGTGTCTTTTCATACTAAAGGCAAAGAAAAAAGAGTGTGCAGACTCAACTTAAAATGGGTATGAAGTTATGGTTCTAGTCAGGCTTAATACCAGACCTTATTTAGCCACCTGCAACATCAAAGTTAAGCCTTTTTGTTTTCAGGAGGTTAAGAATCATTTGCACTAATAATAGGAAGTCTTTAATGTTAACTTTATTCTACATAAGAACTTTATGGCCCTGGAGTTAAAAAAATAAATAAATAAAGAGAAATCACCACTGTGTCATCTGTTTCTAATCTAAAGGGTCACTTTTTTTCCATTGAGTGAGTTAGAGGAGAAAAGTAAAATAACTTTCAAACTGACCCAAAGAAAAGCAAGTATAGAAAAAAACTCCCTAGGTTAATTAAATGGCAAGGTTAGGAAGTCTGAGTTTATATCCTGGTAACCAATGTCAGCCAAGCTATTTTAGTCCTAAGTGAGAAGTACTAATTCCCATCAGGCTTTCCTTCACCCAGGCATCACTGGGTAGTAAAGTGTTCTGGATAAATGAACTTCTAGGCAAATGATGTAAAGAAATATGTATGTGTGTGTGTGTATACACACACACACACACACACACACACATACATCTATATATATGGTACTAACCACTATGATTGGGACATTTCTATTTTTTGACCTAAAACTTATAAGCATTAGTAAATAATTTTTACGAATCTATTCCTTACAAATATTTTTCTAGAGTGAAACATGCCACTTCCTGCTCTGACAAACTGTTCTTTGAATATAATTTGATGTTCAGACAGATAAGCTCTCCTCTGAATGCAGGTGACATCAATGCTGGACAGTATGGCTTGTTTTTATTTAAGTGCCAAGGAGGCAGGAATTCTGACTTGGTTCTACTTCTAGATATTGCATCGTATGTGCAAGCTCCCAGTCAAAGAGCAAAATTGTTTTGCTCCTGGCTATGCCTCTGTCTCAGCCACCACTGCCCCATTCTGCCATCTCTGAAAGTTTTAGAAGGAAGAAAAGACAGACAAGGGCCGAGTATAATAAAAATGCACCATGGGACCAGCATACCACAGAGGTTTCTCCTCTTTCAGCCTATCTCCTAGAAATTTCTCAAGTGAGGACACCTTTACGTGGTGCTCTGAATAATGAAAATACTCTGGAGTGATTAATTAGGAGCTCATCATTATGCACTCCAAAGAGAAATATTAAGGAGGATGCGAATGTATAAAAACATTAATCAGAAGAGGTGGAGGCAGGGGGATTAGCGTCAACAGAGAGATCATTAGTTAAGTGGGAACAAAGATACAGGTACTGAGTGGGAGGTAAAATGTGAAGGAACTCCCTGTTACCTAACAGTGTGCCCAGAACAAGTCGGGGTTCTATGCCAAACAATGAACTACAGAGTAAGATTCATGGACTTTATGACAGCTTTTTTTGTGGGGTCTGTGGACTTCCTTCCAGAAGGCAGAAGGTTGCCAGCAGGCTGCCAAAGCAAATTCAGTATACCTAGACTAGTCTCTTAGAACATAATCAATTCTCAATGATCTGATTCTTAACAGTGACTAATAAAGGATAAGTGAAAACTGCTTTGCTGACCTAAATTCTCCCTTACTTTCCTTTCCTGCTATTCTTACATCCAGCCTGCCCTTTATACCAAAGCACTTAATCATTTCTCCATTCCAGGGGCTGTGAAGCAGAGTGACAGAAAGGCAGCTCAGTCAGGAAGAGCCTGCTGTTTACCTTCAGCATGTGAGCAGAGTGGGAAGGGCTCTGGCCCCAGAGCTGGGTGGTGAAGCCAGACAACTTTCCTGAGTCGGTCTTTTCACCATGGACTTGTGTACTCAACGTTTTATGAGTTCATAAAATACAGATATACCTACTAAAGTATAAAGAATCTTTTCTTAAGTCAGATATAAAGATGATATATCATTATTTTTCTCCTAATACTTGAGGATTAAAATTTACTTTCTCATGTACTTTTTTTGGTTAAATGTTCAAATACAAGTTGCCATACATATGAAATTTAATTGTTGGAACAAAAGGTCGCCTTCTGCAGCCTTAATTTCAAACCTGGCTTGGATAGTATTTTTGCTCCATCTTGCTTTCTAACTCGAAGGTGAGAAAGGAGCTCAGTCCTGATTAAGAGGAAAATACCACAAAATATTACCAACACCTTTGGTTCTTCTTCATAAAAATAAGCATATCTGGCTTGCTTAGCTTGTAATATTTTAGCCTGTTACAGTGCTGAAGATACATGATACTGTGCACATTAAGCATGATTCTATGAGAGAAAGGAGAACAAAGGGGAAATGTTGAAAGAGAATGTATGTGCATTAATAAAAGGTGGTAATTCATTTGCAGTGGATTACACAGATACAAGAACATTTTAGTTACAGACTAGCATCCAGTAGTTGACATCAGGACAAACAGAAAGAGAAGCAATTTTACATTACAAAGGAGTGTGATGACTACACATCATTTCACAATGGAAAACACTGAACAAGAAATTAGAGAAGAAACATACTGACAAGTTCACACATATTTTTAAATGTGCTGCATTTAATGCAATCCAAATCTATCAACAATTTAGATGCTGTGACAACATGCCACTGCCATTTGTGGAAGCAGTTAAAGCATTTCTCACTGATTGCTCAGTGACCAAAAACAGGCAAACAAATAATGCAACAAAACGGCCAATGCATTCAGAGTAACATACAATAGAATCATCTTCCAACCACAGCATTCTTCCCAGATTTTGAAAGAATTATGGCATATGGACTGGAAGGACACAAAGTGCTTACAGTATTAAATACTAGGATATTTACTTTGGCACAAAATGTGTGTTCCAACTAAATAAAATGAGATTGCTCCCAGAACGCATATCCTTAGCAAGAAGATAAAAACGAACATATTACAAAATCAATATGGCCACACATAAATAAAAAATGTTACAGGTTTTTTTTCTTTAAGAACAAACATGAAGACAGAAGAACAATAATCATGTTCACGTTCAGGATACTACAAGGAAAGGGAAGTGCAAAGAAAAACTGCATTGACTGAACAGATTTCCTAAAAACAATTTTGGGGAAATTTGTTATTAAAGACAAAGTGTTGTCTTCAACTTCCTTCTATGTATAATGAATCCTTCATTTAAGAGAATCTTCTGGTCGGGGATGGGCCCCAACCAGAAGGTCAAGATGTATCAGCCTTCCCTGTCCCCTGAGCTGGCCAGGACTCAATGTGGGAAGGATAAGGTGGCAGGACTGAATGCAGCTCTCCTTGCCCCGTTGTTCACTTCGTTTTCCTCAGAAAGAAGCTGGGTGGGGTTTCTGGTCCAAAACCAGCCCTCACCATTTTTAACGTGATTTTTTTTGAAAGCCACCCAAGTCAAGGTTTTAAGCAAAATGACATGAAAAGTGAGCATGCATATTTGTGAAGAAGGGGAGAAGAAGGGGGATAAAGGGGTGGGAGTGCAGGAGAAGAAAGTAAAAGGTCACAGAACACGTGTTTGGCTGGCTGGCTATGAAGTGAATTTTGCTTAACTTTCAGGCCAGTGTTACTGAGGGCTTTAGACAGCATTACGGTGTGGCCCCAGTTTGTTTCCAAAAGTATTCTAAGTTAAATATGATACTGTCTTTGAAAGATAACAATGAATTGAGTAATCTGGTATACAAAGGGCTTCTCATACAGGTCGACTAACTGGTAGAGAAAAAGTTTTAATGTAATTTTATATATTTATATTTTTGAGACCAAACCCTACTGATGAATTCTCTATATATGGACCATGATACACAGCTAGAAATCACCAAGCAGAGATGCTCCAAGTATCAACTTTGTGACAGGTAATGTGACTTCTACTTCCCTTTATTTCTAACTGGCATGAATATCTGATTTGGTTTTGGCTTTAAGTCCAACCATAATCGGGCTCATAATGTCTTTTCGCTTTACCTCTTTCTGTACATCCTTTGCTTGGTTTTCAGCCTTACTGAGAAGCGTTTTTAAATCAGCTGAATCCCGAAGATGCTGTTCTTTCAAGGATCCCACTTGATTCTCAAGCTGTTTCCTAGTCAGTTGAAGGATGCTGAGATCACTGGTAAGCTCTAAACTCTGCTTCTGAGAACTGTAACATAAATATCGACAGTTATTCAATTCACATAGAAACTAGACATAGCAGGAAGTCCAATTTCTTATACATTTAATTAGGAGGGATGGGAAAATATATAAAAGAGAATAAGATATGCTCAATAAATAAAAAATATTAAAATACTTTAAAAATTGCATGTTTAAAAGCTGTGTTCTATTTTCAGACTGAAATATGCACAGAGGCTGAAATCTTAAAAGTGCAAGTAGGAGTGACTAACTCCTAAAAGTGACTAACTGTGTATTTTGTTATGTCACATATTAATTGTTTCATAAAAAGAATCAGAGAGGGGCTTTCCCAGGAAATCAGCACGTTTCAACTATTTTCTTATTTAAGTTTAAGTACTTGACAAACAGGATGGGGAACAAAACCTTAAAGCTTAGGAGCCACTGTCGATTCAAGTAAAGATAAACCTACTTTAATGAAAAGACACACCAAACTGGGGGAAAAGCATGAAACAAAGAACCAGGAGACGGGGTTCTAGACCCCAGCGCTGCCACTGTTCAGTTGTGGGACACTGAGCAAGTCACTTAACCGGTGCAGTTTCCTTTTCTGAGGAACCATTTCCTGAGCTCTAAGAGCTGTGCCAGGCACCTCATTACACACACAAATAACACAGGGAGAGTCTCAGTGCCCTCCACTGTCAAGTAAGAAGATTGAACTCAATAATTTCTGAGGCTGTTCTCTGGCTTAAATTCTACAATTACTTTTATACTTGATGTAAATAGTCCAATTTACACACTAGGAAAACAGCTTGATAGGCAGGAATAGAAATTCTGTGTTCAATCCCTTCTACATCACAAACAACAAAAAACAAAGACCTACATAGTGTAGCTGTTTGAAAGAATGTGGCTCCCATCTACAACAGGAATAGCTAAAGGAGAATAAAGTTTTCAAGATGACAGTTTTATGCTTCTCAGAATGGATCATAAGACTCAGATCAATAATATTAATGAAGGAACTCTGGAGTATAAATCCCATTCTGACTGTATGCCAGGCAGATTCTTAAGGGGTGTGATGTCAGCCCAATATAGCTAGGAACTAAATAGCATAGAAGACTCTGTGAAGAAAGACTAACTTCTAAATACTACTGAAGTGCTGAGGAGGCTTGCCAAATAAAGTCAGAGTGCCACTAAACCAGAAAAGTTTAGGGAACAGAATTTGTCTTAAATAGTTGATGTGAGTTTAGACAGACAACTGCAACTAATGATATATATTCCACCTTTCTGGGACCTGCATGCTTCTAAAGATTTTTTTTTTTATTTTTTTTTTTAATTTATTTGACAGACAGATCACAAGTAGGCAGAGAGGCAGGCAGAGAGAGGAGGAGGAGGCAGGCTCCCCGCCGAGCAGAGAGCCCGATGTGAGGCTCGATCCCAGGACCCTGGGATCATGACCCGAGTTGAAGGCAGAGGCTTTAACCGCTGAGCCACCCAGGCGCCCTAAACTGCATGCTTCTAACTCATAAGGAGTTTGCTGCTTTTCAACACTTCAACAAATCTGAAATAATTAAAAAAACAGCATTTAACAACCTGCCAGATTCCAATTAATTACATCTCAAAAAAGAAGGAGTAGCTTAAATCTTTAAAATATCAATAATCCCAAGGTGGGAACAATTTAGGATAATCAATATTAGTAATCAAAGATTACTATTTCTCGCTTAATAGAATATCGAACTAATGGATTCCCTAAGATTCCAAATATGAAGTATTTGAATGTCTGCATCATCTCACACTCATTTTAAACCAATCTGCCCAAATGTGCTGTCAACACAGATGATCAGTTGGTACATACATATACACTCACATGTGAATACAGTTCTGTTTGGGCCTTTATTTCGTCCTATTCAGATTTTAGAATTCTTTTTATAAAATTATATGTTATAAACGTGTTTACATTTTGTGCCTAATTACCTCTAAACATTTAAAAAGTAATATACATAAATGTATGAAAAGACTGAAAAAACAGGACACAACAGATATTGTTAAAAAATGGTACTGTAAGAAGGCATTTTAGAGAATAAATCTGTACATCTTGTTCCTTCAACTAGTTCTTGATTTTTAAAAATGTATAATCTATTACAATTGTTACTGTTTATAAGGAGATAATGAGGCTTACTGTTTTCCGATGTATCTAGGCCTTTCTTTGTTTTCTCCTAAAGCTTGTTTTTATGGGGAACTGACATTGACCCTGATCACTGAGTTTCTGCTAACCCTGATGCTCTTTAGAAGTATAAACACAGGCTCACAAGAGAGTAAAGACTCCCATATCTGATGTACTGTGGGGAGGCAGATGGATTAATTAGGAGTAGCTTCAAAAATAAACATGTACTACTTTCATACTCTGAATTAGAACATAAATAGTATTCAAATAAAAATATGGAATGGATCAAATTTTTAAGGAAAAAATCAATTTTAAACTATACAACAAATGGTGGGGAAACAGGACTCCATTAAATTTGTTGGCATAAATTTATTGCATTCATTGGTTTGCTTGTAAGGTACTGGCTATTAGAAAGACATGACTGGTTTTGGAGAGTTCTTGATTTTATATACTTTATATATTATTACTCTTTAAATGAAATTATTTATTAATTTATATTAAACTCTTTTATGTGAAATTCAAAAGCTGAGTTTCTATCTTTTCAATGGTATAAATTCTTTATTATAGGCATCTCCTGATTACCCTTACTAACAAAAGGAATCATTGGTGTGAAAGAAAAACAACTTATATTTGAAATTTTTATCATTCAGTTTATAGGACAAATTCAATCACTAAGTATAGATCTTTGCTATTTGTTTGTTTAGGGCTTTGGTGGGGAGAGGGGTGCTGTAGTCCTTGAATGTGTATTCTTGAGTGTGCCAAAAGGAAAGGACATGTAGGATGATGACGGAAGTCCAAAAAAAAAAAAAAAACAAAAAAAAACCCTGCTGAAGTAGTCAGTTAGTGTGCTTAACTGTCAAACGGCCAAAAGGAGTCTGGCTGAACATTTTCCTCCAAAAAGGTATTTAAGTATCAAATTTAAATTTAATTTAGATGAAAATTTAAGATAAAGAAATATTTTGAAGCTAAAAGAGTTCTTGCATACTTGTGCAATTCTTTTTCTTGCCGCTGCAGTTCTGATGATAACAAAACATTTTCCTTTTTTAGAGAATGGCATTCGGTTTCCAATACATTCCATTCCTTTTTCAACTTCTCTAGTTCACCTAAAATAGTTCCAAAACATAGTCATTAATATAGGAATATAACTTCCATAATAATTCAAAGGTTAAGGGAAATATTTCAGAGAAAAACATACTTGCCCCCTCCCCCCAAAACATGTAGATTTTGCATGGCTATTCTTTGCTTACTGCTTATTTTGTCTCTATACTTTAGGTAAGTTCCATCACTTTGAACTTCAGTAATGTTTTCTTCCCACTTCACTTTTATAAGACAAATAATTCAGTAGTATTAAAATAAAATATAAAATTGTAAGAAATTTCAATTTATTGTAGAACTTGTGGACCTCAAGAATGTTTATGGACCCAATATAAAAACATTACTTTATACAACCAAACTGTTACCAAAGAGAAAAACAGCTCAAATGGTTATTTTGTGCAAGTTATAAAGTTATCATTGTCAAGAGTTAAGAGGTTTATGTAAAATATGCACACTCACTTTGTAGCCTTGTTGCTTCCTCTCTCTGCTGGTCCTCACACTGCTGACATCGAAGCTGAAAACTATTTTGCAGACTTGCGATTTCTTTCTCATATTCAGACGCTGCTTTCCGCCACCGCTCAAGCTCAGCTCGCACCTTCTGAAGCTCTTCTTGTAACGAGGCAATGTCAGTGTCCCGCTCAGAGGCAGCCTTTTCTGCTGCTCGATGAAGAAGCAAAATTTCATCTCGAGCACTAAGCAGTTCATCTCTAGTGCTTGTGATTTCACTGTCCTTCTCCTCCCGGAGATTCTCAATATTGATGTGTAACCTCTGTAGTTGGGCTAAAAAAGTATATTGATCCATCATTCTCTTTGTCTAAAGCAATTACAAATAAAGGAACTGCCCAAAAGGGATTGTAGTTACTGCACAGCCCAGGCTGTCAGAGCTGTTTGCTGCTTTTGATTAAATAGTACAAGCAAGCCATGTTTAATGCAGAAAATGTCAAAATATAGAAACACAAAGAGTAAAAAACCAAAGTGATCTTTTTACTTCTCCCACACAGAGAAAGCTGCTTCTAGCATTTGGTATTTATTCTTCTAGATTTTTTATATGCACTTTATACACATATAAAAGCAAAAACAGGGAGGGATTATAATATATATGGTGTCCCCTATCCTGCTGATGAATATCTTTTAATAACAAAAAAATTACACTGTGATTTCTTTGACTAATCCTTTATTTTAGAGATTTTAGGCTGTTCAGTTTTTAATTACTATAAAAAATATTGCTTATAATGCAATCCTAGTTTTTTTCTTAGGGTGAATTCCTAGACATAGAATTGTTTGGTCAGATGGTATGCTTTAGTAAAACCTTTGATGTTCTTTATTCAATTTGCAGTTTAAATGTCAGATCCTTAAAAAAGCTTTCTCTGATGTCTTACTTAAAAATAGCCCTCTCAATCTCTAGCCCATTACCCCGCCTTTATTAGACACCACATTTAATATTTGCTTACGGTTTATCTTTTCCATTGACTGTACATCTCATGCATACTCTATCCTCAACACTAGCAGAGCAAACAACCAAGAATTGCTGGTTGAATTAATGAACTGACAACATAAATGAATAATGCCTAATCAAGGAGGTATATTTTTTTTAACAGATCTGATCCTGTGCCCTCAAGGACTGAACTTGAAACAATTCGTATAAAATACTTGGTTCAGAAGAGAAAAATAGTCTTGGTTACTATAACACAAGAAAAGTATTGGTAGAAAAAGTTCCTTAGGTAGAAAAGAATAATTAAAATAATTAAGAGAATTTCAGGCTGAGAAAGGGGAAGGCTGCTCCATAAAAAAGCATTAAAAAATATGAGGACTTTTCAGTTTGCAGGAAGCACTGAGAGGTTAACAAGTTCAGAATCTGAAGACACAACAGTCAGCGTGATTAACACTTGAGGATAAAGTCATAAAACAACATGCTGGCACTAGGGGGCACTCAATGATGCTCAGGTAAGAATGCTTTAAGACAAAAGGCAGCCCTGTGTCACAGAATCTTTAGGGAAAATTGCCCATACACACCACAGAATGCAAATATAGATTGAAATCAGATTTACATAAGCTAATGGATAAAGTTATTAAATTACAAGAGTTTAAAGAATTTTCTCTTCAAAAAGAGAAATTCTACCCCAGAAATTCTAACTTGACCATAATTAAATTTAAATTTCTAAAGAACTCAAATGTCAATGGGGGTGCCTGGGTGGCTCAGTTGGTTAAGTGTCTGACTCTTGATTTTGGCTCTGGTCATGAAATCAAGCACTGCATCGGGTTCCATGCTGGGCACAGAACCTGCTTAATGTTCCCTCTCGCTCCCTCTCCCTCTATCCCTCCCCCATTCCAGGGCTTGCTTGCACTCCCTTCCTCCCTCTCTCTCTCTCTTAAAAATAAATACATAAGTAACTCAAATGTCCCACTCAAAAATAAGAAGGAAAAAAAAAAAACCCCAAGACTGCTTTTCTCTTGGATATTTTAAGGCAAACATCATAGGCCTTATACAATGATTCCCCATTTTTTCTGAAGTGAGATTGTCTATTTAATTTCTTCTCACCTTATATCTCAAACCAGAATTTTAAAATAACATTAGTTCCCTCTTTGACAATGAAGACAAATTAATTTTGCTTTAGGAATGTTATAATAGCATGGGAAAGAAAGATCTCCCCTAGGGCTCTCATAATTCAAGCCGAACAGTACCAGAACTGTGATCTGAAGTAAACCCTTGGCAGGCAAGGATCTTTCTGGTCTTTTCTGCAATGAACCTGTGATAGCTCACACAAAGAGAAAGCAAAATTGTGGGCATGAAGAGCAGCCTCTACCAATGAAGGCACTACAGGAATCATTATTCTATTCCATGTGCTATATAATTTTTCCTGAAATGCAAATAGTTTTTTTTTTTTTTTTTAAGCTTTATTTATTTATTTGGGAGAGAGCACAAGTGGGAGGGGCATAGGAATGGAGAAAGAATCTAAAGCCGACTCTGCGTCAAGTGCAGAGCCCAAATGGGGCTTGAACTCATGGCCCTGAGATCAGGTCCTGAGCTGAAACCAAGAGTCAAACATTTAGCTGACCGCTTCACCCAGGCGCCCCTCAATGCAGTGTTACGAGCATTAGAAATAATGTCACCACGCTAAAAGTGTTGATGCACAGAGTAGCTCAAATTGATATCCTGTCCAAAGACCCCCTCTGTAGTAACTCACTATATAACCCAGAGAGAGAAAGTCTTACCAAACCCATGTCTTCACCCATGCTCTCCCCACTCCACGTGTCCACTATTAGAGTACTAGGAAATTGTGTTTAAAACAAAACAAAACAAAACAAAACAAAACGCCCAACAAGAGCCTAGTTATAGTCTCAGATTCCAGGGACAAACCAAAGACATGAAAAATGGGAACTCTACACTCGTACTTTCCATTCCTTGTGAATCACTACAAACAATAATAATTCCAAATAACCCTGGGGTGTTTCATACCTTGAAGAACCTGTATTTGTTTACTGGATTCTTCAACTTGATTTCGATAGGCTTTTCTTTCTTCTTCCAAAAGAGCTAAAAACAAAACAGAATATATCTAATTTTGTGAGTTAATGTAAGTATTCAGAATTGAGCAGCTGGAAATTTCTAAGAAATTCTCACCTAAAGCTTATTGAGGGAAACAAAAGCTAAGCAGTAAGTATTATCAGTATTAGCAGTTAGATAATTTAAAGATTTTAGGAGCACAAAACGGTAGTAAGTAATAAATCTAGTCAATTGAGTAGCAGAGTTTTCTAGACCTTATATCACCAAGATTATCTGCTATTCTTTACATGAGGAGCATTCTTGATAGTTGTTAATCAGCATTTTGAGCTTAAATTTTAAAAACAGACTTAAAACTCTCATGTTTAGGGCCACGTATACAGTGAGTACTAACAAACAAAAAGCTCCCAGTTCCTCCTCGGAACGTGAATCTTCCTCCTCACCAGAGAGGTCATCTTAGAGAACATGAGGACTCCATAGGCCATTCACTTTCTCCTTGCTCTAAGACTGTGTGGAACCAAGTGATGCAACTAGGTAGTTATTGTGAATGATATGGAAATGTAAGCTCTAGGGAATAAATATCACCAGTTCCACTGGCCTATGACACTATGGATAAATAAACTATTAGAAAAGGTGGTTGGGAAACTGTAAGATTCTATACCTTTACCTTGTCTGGTTGTTCCCACTTACTAAAGAATACACTCTAAAATCACAGGGAATATAAATTTCCCTTATCTTAAACTGAAGACTAAGGTTAAGTATAACTAAAACTTAGAAATTCAAATACATTATGTTTTTTCTTTTTGTTGTACTTAATATGTAATTAATTGTGAAGATCTTTCATTGGTATGGGTCTTTCTTGGTGTTCACTCACATCAATGACGTGAAGGAAGTAGAGTAACTTTAACTCTTTATTGATTTGAAACATGTTCATAGAGGGTTAAGTGAATGTCCTAAGATCACATAGCTAATAAAGTTGTGGATCTGGAACAAGATACTCCGCCTCTGGACTCAGTCATATCACACTGTTTCCACATCCCCTAAAAAATCAATGTAATCTTGATCTCACCTTGAAGTTCAAAGCATTTTTGTTTACTTGCTCTAGCTAGTTCCTGGGCTTCAATCAATTCCTTGCGAAGATGCTGAATTTCTTGTTTTGCCTCAATTTCTGACTGTGCACCCTGCAAGTCATCTGACAAAAATATGTTTATTTTAAAAGCAAGAGTTAGTACAATACTATAATCTCTACAACCAAATATTAGTCATCTCTTTCATGTTTAGACATGCATAGCTGACAGCACAACTGAGTTAAATAAAATTTAGAAGCAAATTATATTAAGCATTTTAGTCATTTTACCCTGGAGAAAGAACACAGTACAGTTAAATATATATTATTAATTCATGGCAATGGTATTATAAAATGGTATTATAAAATAGTAATGGTATTATTTATAAATATATATATAAATATATATATCACATATATATTTATATATATATTTATACATATGTATAAATTATACATATCACTCATGTAGAGCTTATGTAAGCCTTGACATTCGGTAAAATGGGCATATGCCATTCTTCTTCATCAATTTTGAAACTGTTTGATAACAAGTCAGAAAAATTCCACTTGGAATCAACTGGAAATGGAAAAACAAAACCAAACTTTTTTTCAAGAAAAAGAAGAGAACAAAATTGTTCTCTTTGTGAGAAAAAAATAAAAACCAGGCTGAAATCTCCACCATGCTCACTTTGTCATCAGTATTTTCCCAACACTAAACACATAACAAATATTTGCTAAATTATTAAGTGATATAACCTAAATGGTTTTATCAAAATAAATTAGATCCAACATTGTATCTCGAATATGCCCCTTCCCCTAATGTCTTTCTTCCCCCTCTTGTAACTCTCCTCATCTTTCACCATATTAAAATTTTCTACTATTGAACACTGCCTGAAAAAAACATATCATCATTAGGTCATATTCTTCTAGTGCATTCTATTTGATTATTACTTTGGTTTACAAGTAGCCCAGGCATAGCCCAGGCATAACAAATTTATTACAAAAGAGCTAAGAGGGGGCGCCTGGGTGGCTCAGTGGGTTAAGCCGCTGCCTTCAGCTCAGGTCATGATCTCAGGGTCCTGGGATTGAGTCCCGCGTCGGGCTCTCTGCTCGGCGGGGAGCCTGCTTCCCTCTCTCTCTCTGCCTGCCTCTCTGTCTGCTTGTGATCTCTGTCTGTCAAATAAATAAATAAAATCTTAAAAAAAAAAAAAAAAAGAGCTAAGAGGGGTTCCCGGATGGTTCAGTTGGTAGAGCATATTACTCTTGATCTTGGGGTTGTAAATTTAAGCCCCATGTTGGGTATAGAGGTTACTTAAAAATAAAATCTTTAGTTGTGCCACCTGAGTGGCATAACTGGTTAAGCATCCAACTCTTCATTTTGGCTCAGGTTGTGATCTTAGGGTTGTGAGACTGAGCCCTGCAGTGGGCTCCAGGCTCAGTGAGGGGTCTGCTTGAGATACTCTCCCTCCCTCTCCCTATGCCCCTCCCCCCAATCATGCTCACTCTTCCTCTCTCTCTCAAATAAAAAAATAAAATAAAATCTTAAAAAATATCTTTTTTTAAAAAAGAGCTAACAATAAAATTTCACAATATGATCACAGAAGGTTTTAGATGTTACACACACATATTTTCATACTCAGATTATATCTTTTTCATGCAGGGAAAAGTAAATTTGACTCTGGTTTCATCTATTATAGTCAACGTATCAATTCTCCCTTCAAATAATCTCTTGGTAAGGGGGGAGGCATGTAAAAAGACAGAGAGACAGATTTTCCAGAGCACTGTCACAGTAACTATAAAACTTCTCTTCTTCCAACACCACACACTGGAATCTGCGAAGTCCTAGCTGCCCCCACCTCTGGATTTGTCATTATGTAGGACAGTGTCCTTATTAACAGGAGTATTTAGGAAGTAAGTGTCATGATGCCTACATCTTATTTAAAAAAAAAAAATTAAACCAAAACGTACATAAAGTCTTTCATTAGGTACCTCCTTTAGTTGTATGTTTGTGCTTTTTTTACCTTGACACTTTTGACATTTGGGGCTAAATAATTCTTTGTTCTGTGGGCTGTCCTGTGGGTTGTAGCACGTTTACAAGTTTCCGTGGTTCCTACCCACTAGATGCTAACAACACTCCCTCTGAGTTGTAACAACCAAAATGTTTCCATATATTACCAAATGTCCCTTTGGGGGTAAAACTGCTCCATGTTGAGAACTACTGTTTCAGGCTAATAATTTGATAACCAAGAAAAAAAATCAAATCTATATGTAGACTTCTTTTTCATACAAGCACTGGTTAGTAACTGTGAAACTGTATATTTTTGTGTATTCTAAAAGGGATCAAATAAATATACTGTGGATAAAGACAGCCAGGTTTTTTACTGTTGGAAAACAGAATTAACAACATGGAAATAGGGAAAACAGAATTAATCCTGTGGTGTAGGGTAGGATTAGAGTATGAACTCTAATAGATCTGAAACATATAGACATATGCAGATGCAGGAATAAATATAGGTATGCGAGACTGCATATAGATGTACACATATGTATGGGCATTAAGTATATGCATACATTTATTCTTAACTGTCTACTGAGTGGGCCTAGAAGCAATAAGCACACCAAATATTCAGATCTTGGTTTCTAAACACTATTCTCCACTAAAAAAGAACTAGAGGTCTTTGGAGAAATTGTTGATTTCAGTACTAACTAGGATGGGAAAATACAAAATGAATGTAGAACATCTTTTGTGTCAGAAAGTAACAAAGGGCTCAAAGAATGCCGGTTCATGTTGAAAAGATACAAGGGGCTCCCACTGTCCAAACGTGGGAGAATGTGTCAGAATAAATAATGATAATAAAAGGTTATAACCCACTGAACAACACATAAATCCATGAATTCACAATGATATAGATAAAGGAAAGGAAGGAAAGAAAGAAGGAAGGGAATGAGGGAGGGAGGGGACAAGGAACTCTTCCTTATGGAAATGCAGAAAACCAACTAACAAATGTAGAAAGAATGATAGAATTAGCACATCACTATTTGGCAACTATTATAACGATAACTGATTCAGGCAAGAATCCTTAGTAGATGCTAACACTAAGTAGATAAAAGTTGAGGAGGAACAGGATATTTATACAGAGTTAACATCACCAGTCACAAAATAATTCAGTATCAGTTTCCTCCTAATATGACATCCAATATTATTACTGAGGGACATTTTACAAAGTAACTGTACTCTTCAAAAATGTCAATATCTGATAAACAAAGAACTGAGAAACTGTCCCTGATTAAAGGAGACCAAAGACATGTGACAAGTGAATATACTGTATGACTCAAGATTTTCTCTTATGATGACATAATTTTTCTTTTATAAAAGACTTCATTGAGACAAGTGACAAGATGTGAATACACTCTATGGATGTGATAATGTAATACCTCATTGTTACTTTACTAACCAGGAGAGTTGTATGGCGGCTGTGTAAGAGAAACAGAAAATATTCATTTAAGTATTTAGGAGTAAAGGCTATCAGGTCTGTAATTTACTCTCAGTGGCTCGGGGATAGGGAGGAAGGTGCATGGAGGAGGGAGAGGGAGATGGATAAATCAAATCCATAAAATGGTAACAGCAAATGGAATGAAAGGTTAACATTTAGAGAATCTGGATGAAAAGTATATGGGATTCTTTGTTCTATTCTTGCAACTTTTCTTTAAGTCTGAAATTGTATCAAAATAAAAACTTAAAAGAAAAATCTCTACATACATACACATATAAATAAAGGAAATATGGCAAAATACTAATGACTGTTGAATCTAGGTGGAGGGCATGTATGAGTGTTTTTGGTATTCTTCAACTTTTCTTGTGCTTGAAATTTTTCATAATTAAAAAAGGTCTTTGGAAATTACCAATCCCAATGCCACAAAGCCCCAATCATTTCTGTCTAAATTCTTGCCCTTAACCTAGCCTGCCCTTCTGCATTCTATCCTATATTGGAATACTAAAGCAAATCTCTTACTTAGATGAAGAAATGATTTAAATGAGCACTGGGTATTATATGCAACTGATGAATTACTGAATACTACATCTGAAACTAATGATGTACTATATATCAGATAATTGAATTAAAAAAAGAAAAGAACCTGTCTTGACTCCTTCTTATAACAAATGCAGACAACTTTATCTGACTTTTTAAAGTTCTCCATAATCCAGTATTTACTTACTTTCCATTACTCACTAACATACTCAATTCCTATTAGTCTTCTTAGTAGCTCTGAAGTAGTCATGAGACTACTTCCTCATGTATCTTTGCTCATGCCATCCCCTTTATCCTGCAAGCCTGCCCATTCTTTAAAGCCCACGCTGAATGAAGTCTCTGCATCTAATCCCAAGTGCATCTAACTCCCAGCACACATTGGTCTCTTGCCTGATTTCTAGAGCTTGACAGTCAAACCCAATCAAGCCAGTTAGCTCTTTGCAAGTCCTCTAATTGTTCAGTATCTGATTAGTATACAAGATAACCAAAGATTTGCATCTAAAATGTGTATATTTAAAAAATAAACATAATAATCATAAATGAATTAATAAGATAACTAGAAAACTATCTCATTTTGAGGACGAGGATCCTTTTATAAATGAAGAATCATATATAATCCACCTTTAAGGTCTATGAAAATAGACAGTTCTTGTCTGCAGCAGAACAATTCCCTTGATCAGTGATGTTGTGAAGCAAAACTAATACTTACTTTTTAAACTAGAACCAGTGGAACAGATTTTGTGGTAAGTAATAATGTTTCAGGAAATAAAATATAATCTATATTTTATATATATAAAGGCAAAAATATAAGGCATTAATAAATCATGCTAACATAGGGACTTACTATTTGCAAATTAGTTTTTTGTACCATATAATAAAAAGGGTCAGCATTTTAATTAGAGCAAATAAAATGCCATATATCAAATAATGGGCACATACAAACTCTATATAGTGTTTGATCATAGAAGTGAAGACACTGACCAAATTCTTTACAAATTAAATTTATTATACAATGACTATTCAAACTGATCAAGTAGTGTGCAGACCCTCTTTTCAGAACACTAAGTGCTAATTTCTTTTAAAATTTATTTATTT